TTACTATGTGCAGAAAATGCTGCAATTCTAGTCTCTACAAAAAAAAAAAAAAAAAAACCCAAGTGAGAAGGGTTTAAAATAAACCTTTATGTGTGTTGGTGCAACTTAAGGAGTAGCAATAGAATGAGCAAATAAATACCGGGAGTTTTAGCCGCCTCTTTCCTTAGACTGATTTCCTATGCTTCCTTTCCTGAGCCCAGTTTTGCTTTCATTTGAAGGCAATGGACGAGTTAACGTTGCCTTTATAGACTGACTCCTTAACAAAGTGTTTTTCAGAGCCTTTAATAATTTGCTTTGCCACTATCACAAGCAGCAGGCCTATTGGGATTTATAAGGTCCCGTCTCATTAGAGAGGCTGAGGGATGGGTAGGGTTTAGAAGCAAAACTGTTCTCCCCCCTGAGAGGGATCAGTGGAGAGGGCAAATGTAGAGCAGTAGGCAGAAGCTCATGTTGGTTTTCCCTGTCTCACAGTCATTTCTATGGATAAATAACTTAAATCCCCATGGAGTCAACGTCTCCTGGCACCTTTCATAAGATATGTTTTCATCCACTCTGCAGGAAAAAAAAATCTGACAAATGTAGCTGACTAAAAAAAACAACTTTAAAAATACAAATGAAGATGTGCTTAAACCACTGACCACAGCTTCTCAGAACTTCCGTAGTTGATTGATTGGTTTGGATTTGATTTGCACCAGCTTTGCACTGATGTTCAGGAACGATTCTCCATTGCAAGGGCCAACTGCCTAATTTAAAACCTTTGCATCTCCATAAATCCTAGGGAATGTCAATAGCTGGTCAGTCTGACAGAGTAACCAGCAGGCTCCACAATTCCCCATGTGCATAGATATTTCTCTTAGTTAAGATTTTTGAGTAGTAGTGCTGCAAAGGAAAAAGCTTGCTTGATCACATGAGGCCTGCATAGGTTCCCTGCCTGTTAGCATGTATTTTCAGGGAGCTGTCCCTAATTTTATGTTAACCCTTTGATTTTCTCTGTGTCTTTTGCAGGGAATCAGAACTCCTTTTTAATTTCTCTGAAGTTTGTTAGCATTTAAGACTACCTCCGGCAGAATGAGCACAGTAGCCCAGAGTAATAATCTAGCTACAGAATAGTGAGGGGCTGGAAATTGTAATGTCTTCTCCCTGTGGATCTGCTTGTTTTGTGCATTGTTACTCATCACAACAGGTTTCAACAATTTAGCTGTGAATTGTTAATAGATGAATGCAGAACAGGAAACTTAAATACTTTTTGGGTCACTGAGTCATGTCCGTTGTACATAATGCCATAGTATAATCCCGTTTGAGCTGCGGATTTAGGGTTTTAATCAAAAGACCTATCACATAAAAGGTGGATGACTGAATCTCCAGAGTTTATACTTTAAATGGGAAATAAGATCTCAGGTCTTTGAAATAATAGGTGTAGGCAACTATGCTTCTCTCCTAAGATGTTTCTAAGTGACTGTAGTTTCTGGTAATTTATGGGATGTGAAAAAGTACAAGTTGGTTAATCCATATAGCAGTACTAAAGAACGTGAAATGCGTGGCGAAACAACTAGCTTGTGTAGCCTTATTTCTGTTTCTGTAATCTCTCTAGTTCTCTGAGATTAGTTTTACAAACACTGGCATTCCTTTCTATGGGAGGAGACAGCACTTTTGCTAAAATGGAAAAATACTGTTGTCAAGTTGACTGTTTATCTCTTCAATGACTTTAATCTTTAGCACTTAAATACATACCAGAAGGTTTGTTGTTAAGGGACCCTCAGAAAATTCCACGGATTTCGAGTGTCGTTGGAGTGGCAGGTCTAATCTCTTTCTTGATTCTCCTAATACAAAATTTGAATAGGTATAGCCTAAAATAATGTAGAAAATCATTCCTAATTATTTGTGGAAAATGAAAAAGAATGCAAGTATAAAAGCAAAATCTATGAGGGAAAATTAAAAGTAAAAGGCTATTTTTCCAGGTATCATTCTTCATGATTAAAAAAAAAAAACAAACCACCATCTTTTTTTCCCTTCCTTGTAAGTTATTGTCCAGTATTCACAGTTACATAGAATGTAACACCCTGCTGACTTTGTTTGCAGGAGTTACATGAAAGTGCTGGTTTCAAAGATCCTGCTCAAACTTGTATATGTATACATACATATACAAACACATACATTAATTTATATGCTTATGTGTTTTGACCTGACTAAAATAATAATTACATGAAGGATTTTTGCCTTCTGCAGAATTACTGAATTTCTTCCACACATTATACATTAAATTCTTCAGATTTCTAATAGCAGCATAGAAAGAGGATGTGGACTTGCCTGAATGAGGCAAACTTTCATGAGGTGGTTTGTTTTAAATGTGTTGCTAGAGAATTTTGTCACAGTTGCTGACTATAATACATAGTGCGCAGTTAAGCCTCAAGCAAACATTACAGCTTTACCAAAAGGATAGGCATGAATACTCATTACTTTCACAGGAAGGGAGGAAATTACAGTTTTCCTGATTGTCTGGTAGTTAAACTCTGTCTTTCCAGAGCCGATTTTAATCGATGAGGTGTTAATTCAAACAGTGTGGACAGAGAACAGTGAAGTTTGGTTGGGTATTTTTGTTTGTTTTTTAAACAGAACTGTAAGAACAGCTGAATCCTCTAAACGTAAGTAATTTCATTCTTGTGTTGATCATCTTAAATTAACCCTGAGAAAGAACTAAATACCTTTTGTCTGACCTGATTTGCAAACACATGGTTGGTATAACTTCATTGAATTAGTGCACATTGAATTCAGACAGGGGTGTTCATTAGTGCTAAGATTATCTGCACATACTAATAGGCAGCTTGATAAGATCTCAGCAGTGGGAAATAATTTTTAGAACTATCAGGTAATTTTTTTGTTAATGTAGGTAAATTAAAGCTACTTTGGTTTTGTTTATTGCTTTTTAATTTGTGCTTTGGTCAATACTGGTAAAGTATTTCTGAAAGTGTTTTCCATACATCCTCTGCTTTTTCTTTGTTTAATAGGGTTAAAAAAAACCCACAAAGAATCAGAAATACTTTTAGAATTTCCTTTTCAATTGACCTACTTTATTCACTGCTGGACACCCCAGTGTCTGTTATTTGTATGACAATGGTCTCCTTTGTTGTTTTTCCATCAGGTATAAAGTAGTATTTCTCTGCAAGTCCTGCATGCACTGTATGTTCATGAATGCATGTCCCTGTTCAGTGTAGCTCTGGCATATTGCCTTACTTAACATAGAGTAAAAACTCCAAGATTTCATTAACTTACGTGTTGAAAAAGCACAGATGACATGGTAAAATAAATACAAATTCCAAGTAGAAAAAGGAGAAGGCATGAAAGCAAACAAAGTACTTTTTTTTTCTTCATAAATTTTCTTCCAGGCGTATGACTTTCACAAAATTATCTGAAGAGATCACACTCATAAAATTATGTCAGTGGTTAATGGGTTGCATGAAAGTGTATTTAAAAAAAACCAACATGTAATCTGGGACTCACCATTCCAGTTCTACTGTGTCTGAGTATAGAAGGAAGTAAACCAAGGAAAATTTTAGGGCCCAAGTTTACATTCTTCAGAGACTCAAGATTCCCAGTGTGTTTAATCAGAACAGTAGAATAATAAAAAGCTGTATTTAGCTCTACACAGAAAACAGAACAAAATCCTTTTAAATTAAGTGCAATTTTGTCTGCAAAATTCTGTTACCTTTTTTCTTTACTCCCAGTTACAGATGCTGGTTATACTGTGCAATTTGGCTCATTAGAGCCAAAGTACTTTTCAATTGAAAAGGAGCAAATTTAGGTAGGACAGACAGGTGGAAAAAACTCTTTTAAATGCACTAATCCTTTCTTGAGGGAAAAAAAACCCTAATTTTCTTTTGAAACTTATTGCCACAGAATGTCTTCTGGGTCCTTAGCTGTTGTGATTTCTTATTGGTACAGTAGTAGAAAGGGTAGGAAAATTGCTGTGGGAGGTTTTAATCCTCCCTTGGTTCTGAAGGATGAAGGAACTGAATGATCATTCCCAGTACATGTTAAAGTAGTCCCAAGCCTGTTTGGTTTATGGTGAAGGAAACATTCCCTTAAGGACAGTTCCTTGCTGCTCAAAACTGCTAGCATCCATTGCGCTCTCCAGAATGCTCTCTTCACTGAGGTGAACAATGTTTGGCAAATATGTAGCTCTAGTTTGCTAGCTGAGGTTTTTTTCTTTTACTGTAGATCGTGGGTGAGGGTTATCTACCCAGTAATTTTGTCTTTTATCCTACTGAAATAGTACTGAGAAAGCCCTTGAATTAACTGGCTTACTATAACTGGATTTGGCAAAGTACCTAGAGACGCACAGACTTGTGCCATTACAAGCAAAAAAACCTCAGCAAATCTGCTGTTAAATGGTGCCTGAATTTACCTTATCCCAATATTTACAAAAGATGATAACTACTATTAAAACAGCTTTTATCAGTGAAGGTTCACCAGTCGGTTACCTAAAGAAAAGAGAAAATCTTTGAAATACAAGAAATAATGAGGTGCCAAATCATTAGGTCCTTGAGTCTTTCTTAAGGCACCCCCCTCCTGTGGCATATATTAACAGGAATCATACCTCCCTCCCCTTTCCTCATGCTCCAGGGACTCTGTCCCACTGTTGCATAATCTTCATCCTCCTTTCATTTTTAGCTTTCCCACCTCATGTACTATCAGCATTTTAAGTTATACTGGCAGAACAGAACAAACTGTAATGGAGGAGAGACAACACAGGGTAGTTTGGCTGGAAGGAGGTTCTGGTTCCTGTAAAGAGGATCTGTGGACCATAAGAGAGGTGCTTAAAACTGGTAGCCTTGCTAACCAGATGCTGAAGTTTCAGTTTTGCTGCTTTTCACTAAGCACTTCCCTCTTCTATGTTTGTTTTTTTTTGTTTTGGTATTTTGTTTGTTTTTCTGATTTTTCAATGGAATCAATAGAGTTGGTATCTGGAAAACTTGGAATTGACTAGATCCAATCAGTGCTTAACATTTTACATGTTTTGCATTAATGACAGAGGAGTGCTGCTCTTGGGTTATTTCTTCTCCTAGAAGATCTGATATTCAGTGAGGGTGGACTGACAGGTGCTCAACTGATTTACAATGGTATGATGAGTGTGGTGCCATCAGAGTTGGGTGAAGCTATCATATGTAGACACTAGTGGAATAATATTCCTCTTTACTGACTGAGAAACTAAATGACATTGAGATCATGAGGCCTGGCCACAAAAACTCAGCAGGCTCTTTATGGATCTGGGAATCAAGCCATGATGTCTCCTAAAACCCAGTTAAAATTTCTGACCGGTGTTGCAGTGACAGACAGAGGCACTAAGTAGTGATGTTTTGAGGACCTCACTTCTGTTTTAGGCACAAGATTAATCTACTAATTGTGAATACAGAATGAATTTATCTCACCGTAGAGTTACAAAATTATGCTTTCAGTGTGACTTTTTAAGACTCTTTCTGCTCATTCAACATCATGTTCTATAAACCAGAGTGCTTACAAAGGGATACTGTTAAACCTCATCTCTCTATAACAAAAAGCAGCCTACAACTGTAAGGTCTCTTTCTATTCATCATTCACCACATCTGTTGCTTGCTTGGACACTGACCAAAATGATTCATGAACTTATTTTGGTGAAATACTGGGATTATACAGAAAGCCAGTATTTCAAAACGGAGGAACCAACTTCCTCAGCTGAAGACAAACACAGAGTATCATTCTGCAGCTTCATTAGGAAGAAGGCAGTAGCCAAGTGAAGCAGCTGGGATCACACTGAAGTCACTCTGAACTCTGCAGATCACTTCATTCTTCCTTCTGCTACAGAGCTCACATCTCTTATTTACAGTGTGTTTCGTTCCAAAGAACTAAACAAGGTAAGTCAATCTCTCTGTTATATTTTAAATCTTTCTTTCCCTCTGTTCTAAATAATGTGTTTCTATAGCTGCAACACTTGCAGACAAATCCTGTGAGGTAGTGTAGCATATACTGGCTAAAATTGCTTATCGGAAGAAACAATGTGATACTTATTTTAGCAAGAGAAGATATGAAAGTACATGTGAATATAATTTTTATTAAATTTTGAATGTGTTTGTACACACTTCAAGGAGTCTTTTATCCTGTCAGAGAGTGGTAAGTGACCTTCATTTAAATATCTTTCTCCCCCTAATTCACTACTCTTGTGTGTTGGTTTTTGATTTTGGGGTGGTTTTTTTTGTTTGCTTACAGATAGTATGTCACCTATAGCAATTCCCAGTGTTATTAGAAATAAGTACACCAGTTCTGATCAGAACAAATTGTAGAACAGAAACTGGAAATCATTTCAACTTAAGTAGTGGAGTAACAAAATAATTCTATAGAATTAGTCATGCAGAATTAAAAAAGACTTCTATGATCTGAGCTGGGAGGTGAATGTGTTTTCCATAACCACCATGGAATGAGGTAGAATGTGGAATGAGGTAGAATGTGGAATGAGGTAGAAAGCTGTCATTAGGAGCATGGGAATGTTTTTCCTATGAAGCAACAAGAAGGTTTGAAGTCTTCTATACTACTGCACAGTGAGGCAGGGCTAGATTCCGCCTCCTGTTCCGACTTGGTGATATCAATGTCATTGTCACCTGTGGTCTTTCTAAATGTGATCTTGCAAAGCCAAACAATACCCCAGACTGTTTCTGCAGATTTACAGAAGATAAATAGATTGTCTATGAATTAAAACACATTTGCTTTCCAGCTGAATAAACCTGTTTTACTGGACAATTTTAAATGTTTATTAATTCATAGATAAGGAGAAGTGAGTGGGGGTATGCCAGTGTAAAAGAATTTGTCAGACGAGGTTTGTAGAAACCGATTTAATGATTAACTGGTTATGACACCTTCCTTCCACTAGCTTCATACTATTATTTTGCCTCAGCTGAGCTAGGAAGTGCAAATATTTTGAAAACCCAATTTACTTTTGTTGAATGCCACTGCAGTTTCTGCCTGAATTTAAAACATTATCAGCCACTTATGCCAGGCAGACAGGAGAGAGGTCCTACCAAGTTTATTTTAGTGATAGGGATTTTATGTATGCTGCAAGTCTACTTATATATTAGAATCCACTTTTACTGCACTTAGAATCTTTGAGTGCACCATAGTGGAAGTTATTTGACTCTGGAGAATGAACTTATGGTTTGGATTCTCTAGTTGCCTTTGTGGAAAGGGATCATAAGTCAGGGAAACTCTATGTAAGGATTCCTAGGCGGGATCTCACTACAGATTTTTACTGCACTGTTGGAGCCAGAGGAAAGCTCTTGATGACAATAATGCAATTTGTATGTGCTATAAATTATCATAGCATCATAGAATGTTTTGGGTTGCAAAGGACCTTAAGGATCATCTAGTTCCAACCCCCTTGCCATGGGCAGGGACATCTTCTACTAGACCCGGTTGCCCAAAGCTCCGTGCAGCCTGGCCTTGAATGCTGCCAGAGATGGGGCAGCCACAGCTTCTCTGGGCACCCTGTACTAATGTCTCACCACTCTCACAGTAAATAACTTGCTTCTAATATCCAATCTAAATCTTTGCTCTTTCAGTTTAAAGTTATTACCACTTCTCTATCACTACATGCCCTTGTAAAAAGTCCCTCTCCAGATTTCTTGTAGGCCCCCTTTAAGCATTTGAAGGCTGCTCTAAGGTCTTCCCAGAGCCTTCTCCAGGCTGAACAAGCCCAGCTCTCTCAGCATGTCTTCATAGGAGAGATGCTCCTGTCCTCTTACCATATTCAGGGCCCACCTCTGGATTCACTCCCATAGCACCATGTCCTTATTATGTTGGGGCTCCCAGAGCTGAATGCAGGACTGCAGGTGGGGTCTCATGAGAGCAGAGTAGAGGGGCAGAATTCAACTGCTGCCCCTGCTCCTTTTGATGCCATCCAGGATGTGGTTGGCCTGGGCTGCGAGTGCACACTGCTGGCTCATCTTGAGCCAGTTTCTCATCAGTCCATACCCCAAGTCCTTCTCCTCAGGGCTGCTCTCATTCTATTCTCTACCCAACCTGTATTTGTGCTTGGGATTGCCCTGACCCAGGTGTAGATCCTTGCACTTGGCCCAGTTGAACGTCATGAGGTTTGCACTGGCCCACCTCTTGAGCCTACCAAGGCCCCTCTGGATGGCATCCCTTCCCCTCAGTGTGTCAACTACACCATGTAGCTTGTTGTTGTCAGCAAATTTGCTCAGTGAGGGTGCACTCAGTCCCACTGTCCATGTTGCTGACAGAGATGTTCAATGGCTCTGGCCCCAGTACTGACCCCTGAGGAATGCCACTCATCACTGCTCTCCATTTGGATGTCAAACTGTTGACCACAACTCTTTTAAGTGCAATCACTCAGGCAATTCTTTATCTACCAACTGATCCATCTGTCAAATCCATGCTTCTCCAGCTTAGAGACAAGGATGTCATCCAGGACAGTGTCAAATCCTTTGCACAAGTCCAGGTAGATGATGTCAGTCACTTCCTCCCTTATCCACCAGCACTGTGAAGCCTTGTTGACTGTTACCGATCACTTCTCTATTTTCCATGTGCCTTCACTCCAGTCACAGGAGCTATCCCACAACATCTCCATGATGCCAACAAGATCATAGATTATAAATAATTCCTTTTCATTTTAAGAATTTATTTCTCTGCAGACAACCTAATGAAATGACCATTCCGAAATAGTCAGATTTGTGTTTATATCTGATAGATTCAAGAGGAAAATTTACATCTGTTTCCTACTAAAGACAGCTTGCTTAAAGAATTTCCTTCTCCTTGTGTTTCTTAAAAGCCACTTGAAGTTTGTGATCTGTTCTAAGATATTAATTTGTTATTAATAACTGCTATTCCAAGCACTATGCAGCTAGTTTTGCAGAGAAATGTAGTCTGTTGAAGGGTCGTCTTGTTAGCTTATTTATTCATTTTGTCTTACAAAATGTGCCAACAGTTCAGCTGTGTCTTACTGTGGTGGCTGGTTGTCTGGCTAATTTGCAGTCATTATTTCTGATAATGGTGTGATTTGTGTTCATTCAGTCTAAAGCTAGCAGTTTCACAACAGTGCAGGGCTGTGTTGTTGCTGGCTTTGCAGAAAAGAGCAGAGTGGGAGGAAGAGTTTCTCATGGCCTGTTAAAGAAGAAGGGATTGCTGTTACTGCGATGGGCAGTGTCCAAGAGGCACTTGGTTTTAGAAGAGAAGATGCCATCATGCACAGATCAACTCTCCCACACTTGCTACTACTTTTACAGTGTGCTTGAGCATCCTGAGACAAGAAGGGAAAAAATATTTGTCCTCACAAGAACCATCTAGTACTTCCAGGGGAGCTCAGCTCATTCTTTGTATCTTCAGTATGTTCCAGAGGTTGAGAGTCTGGAAACAGGAGCAGAAAGCCTTGTATCAACCCATGGCTGTTCTTTTCCGGAGAGAATTTTTGCTAGCTTGCTGCAGCTCTCTTATACTATTTTACTTCATTACATTCTGTGGATGAACTGAACAGACCTGTTGCAGATACAATATTTTTTTGTAAGTTGGCTGAAAGGGAAACTATCCAAACCCGTTGCTATGAGTCAGGTTTGATTGCAAGGATTATTTGCAAAGGTCAGCACTCTAGAAGTCTCCAGTCCTTGCCAAGAGCGTGAGCTAGCAAAGAGTTTGCAGCCTTCTGCTTCTCCAGCCCAGGCTGTCTTCTCCCATTTTGGTACTTCTTGAAGAATGTATTTTGAGAATCACAAGATACAAGTATGAAGAACTGGCACTTTTTTTCTCTATGCACAAAAGATATTTGCCTCTTCATTATTTTGTCAAGGTCTGAATCCTGCTGCCAGCTTTACATTTGAATCTACTGTTTGGCTTTGGGCAAGATAGTTATGTTCCTTTCCCTACTCTCCTTGTGTCTGTTTATTTTGTTTAATTATAAACAAAGTGGGAATTGTCTCTTATTAGGTGCTTGTAATGTCTAGATCCATTTAGGCTTTGATCTCAAAGGCTATCGCCTTTGGGTACTTTCCCAACATAAAATACTTGCTGCTTTCAGCAAGTGTGAGCCTGGCACAGTTTTATTCTCTTCTGAAGCCTAGACAAGAGACAGTGATGAGTCCTGTACCATCACTGTAATATCACTTTCTACACTCCCATTTCTGCTTTCTAGTAATCCTCTTTTAATGAGGTTAGCCCCACATCATTTTCAAGAGGCATTTTAGAAATGTTAAGAACCATTGTTGATTTAAGAAAACTGAGTAACATGTTGTTGAGGTCCTAAACTGTTTAACTGAGGGTGTTGTACCATATATGTTCAAATGAGTCAAATGAGAAGTGATTTGCAAAGGTAATATGGAAAGCCTGTAAAACCTGTATTTCCAAGCTCCTAATTTAACGCTTTGATCGTAGGTGCTATCTGTCCTTGTCAGTGCTAAGGAGTGTTCCCAATGCCATATTAGGGAGACAGATAAATATTCAGCCCTCCTGAAATAGTATTAATAAGTTTTGCAGGGATACAGGCAGTGCTTATTTTAGACTTGACCTTAAATAGTTGGCTTTGTATGAGTAGGAATATTAGAGTTACACTGATACTGAAGTAGACACCTTTAATCTATTGTACACAGTGAACCCAGTATATTAACTGTGAAGACAAAATAAAGTATGTTACCAGCTGGAATGTTTTGGTTACATACTAGAAAATTTTGGAACTGGATGTTCTGATACATCCATGCAAGAGTGTTGTTTAGAGTAATATAACCATAAGAATGTTACAATCATGTTAGCAGAAACTGCTGATGTAGATTTAATGAGCAGAAGAATAAACGTAGAAGAACAGAGATATATTTAGAAGGCAGTACATAACCAAGCATAGTGTTAGGAGTGACTAGGAAATTAATATGTGAAATGGAATAAGCATATTTGAGGCATGAGTTATGTTGCTAATTTTCTGTGGGGTTAGCTTCTAACTCTTCTTGTCACGATGACAAAGTATAATGGTTTGTAAGCTTCTTTATCTGTTATTCTATAGAGATTTTGTATCTTGCTGGAGAGGGTTATTTTCATTTTTCC